TCTATCGTCAACGTCAAGAGGGTCTCGAAGGTGCTTTATATGGCTGAGAACCTGGAATGCCATGAATAAGCACTGCGCTAGATTTATAAAATCATAGAAATAAAAGGTACAACGCGGATTAATATCAGCTGAAAGGAGCGGGAGCTAGGGTAGAGATAGGTAGAAGCTGTAAAGCACTGCGGTAGAAATAGTGGCGATCATAGAGGTAGTATAGCAGCATCTGTGGCACAGGGGAGAGAGAGAGTAGGGAGGGACTGCTGGATGAGATGACAGCAGTATCAAATGAAGCCGCGGGCATTTGCCAGAGGGTATCCACGACATGGCTTTAAAGTAGGGAATATATAGCTAGCATAGCAGCCTTGTCCACGAGAAAGGAGCTCGCAGCCAAACCCCGCGGCTGCCAGCCACGAGATGAGATCACGGGTTTTCTTCCGTTGGGGCTTGGTGACTTTGGCAGCCCATGTGAGCAGAAGGCAGAGGCTATAGAAGGGACGAGCGTGTGTTCAGAATGTATGAGGAAAGGTTGGCAGAGTATGTTGGATGGTTGGGGGGAATATTCAGCTAGAGCATAGAACTACAAGCCATCAACGACAGTTTGTTTGCGAGAGTAACTAGGCGGCGAGGAGAGAACCCACGGGGTTTAGTTAACTATTTGGCTGACCAGCCACACTCGGTTTGGTAAGATAACTAGTTAGTTATGCGGAATAGTGATAAGGATGGCTATCGTATCCAGCTGTCCTCGCGTTGTCTGTGGCCAGAAAAGAAGCAGAAGACATGCAGCTCCTTGATTATCTATATAACTAGTTAGCATCTCCGTCTCGGGTGGATGTGCCGAGGGGGCGGGTTGGCTAACTTGGCGGCGAGCTTGGTAGCGACCCCATATTTGGGTACGAACAAGCATCTCCGGGCCTCCTCCTTCAGCCCTCGGCGTCAGCGGGTGTAACTTGGCACGCAACTGCACGTTCCGGCGTTGGGTTACTTGGTCTCGTTGATGAACTGTTTCTAGCAGCGAAGATACATAACTAATTCCTCTATAACTAGTTACCCGGCCTTTTATAAACCCCTTTTCAGCGAGATAGCATAAATGAACGATTATTAAAGTCTATTCAGTAGTTGGTTAACTATTCAGTTTAGTTGTATTTACTCATAACTTCTGTCTCCGCCTAAGCTCTACTCTCTCTCTTTCTTTCTGCAGCTTCTCCGCGAATTCCGGCTTTGCAGGAGTGGCAACTTTATGGTGCTCTGCTGTTGCATACACAACCTTCCCGTCCACGGACTCTATAACACCCCGAAGCATAGCCATTGTTCTTCCATGCTGAAGAGTGGTGCATTTAATTCGGATGGTAGTTCCTGTTGCAAGCCCTTAGATTAACCAGCATTCTCCAGACACTCATGTTTACCCGTATCTGGGGAAGGGGGTTTATATCATTCATCATGACAAGACATACCAGTAGGTATCCCCTTGAGATAGGATAGGTTTAGAGATCGTGAGACGCCTTGCAGGAAACTAGTTTATGGTATTAAAATGCGGTCAAATGGCACAAGATGGGAAGAGAAAGACGCACTACCAATACCCGGGCTTAGTTACTGGATTCATTGATATGGCAGTGCACATGTCTTTCATTCCATGGCTATCAGCAACTTCTTCGTTCCGAGAGTCCTATGAAAAAGCAGGTAGGATATTAACATACCGAATACTACAGCACAAGCGCCTCCATGCATAACACCTACGTATTTAAACCCGGGGTGTCATTATATTTCTTATTGCAAATTCTCGGTAAAACAGAGACTTTAATACCATTCAAATTTGACCAGTATTCAGTTACATCCATCTCCCATGTTGCACCCCCTGAGGGGTCAGCATCAATGAGGCGGATATCCTCAAAGAACCGTCTATCATAACCCTGTAAGGGATGAGACAGGCGTCAGTGACTAGCTATTCATCTTCTATTCCACTTCTCAAAGGTTCAAAGAGAAAAGTGTTACAGCGTACCTGGTAGTTTTTCTCCTTCGTTATTTCCCCATAACTGCGGAGAGAATGTTAGAATGTAGGACGTACAATACTTCCTTCATTGGGGGGAGGGAGAGTCTAGGCAGCTTACACCTTAAGGAACGTTTCAATAGACTCCCTTGCTCTTTGCTTTGCTTCAGTTTCCGCCATTTTTAATCGCCTAAAAGAGAGAAAAGATGGTTTATGTATGGGAACCAGCAAGAATTGAGAGAAAGAGTATACCTATGAAAGGCTTGCTGGGGAGAAGGTTCTTGCCGCGGCTGAATTTCGGCCGAGGCTAATTATGGAACCTTCCAACTGATAATACGCTCCAAAACCTTTTGACACACGAACCAATGCTAACTTCTAGGCCGTTTCGGCGTTACGGAGTACTTTGTAGTTAAAAGGGGACATCTTTATAAGTTTCAAGTTCGGTGCTTTTAAAGTGGCCGGAATTCAGACGTGGACACAGAATCCCATACGCGAATCCATCAAACACAATGGGCCATTCTACAATAGACTAAGAGGCACAGAACAAAGTACTTAAGGTTCGCTTTCTGTAGCCATAGCCACGAAACGAGTTCTACACATTTACTCCGTATTATTTGGCTGTTCGAGCTTCCACTTCTCCGCCTGGTGATGCTCTTCGGGCGTTGGGGAGCAGGGGCACCTGGGCAAAAAGGGGGTCACATGGAGGCTACCTGTCCCAGACAGGACAGGAACGGATCAACTTAACACCGGCGCAGGTACAGTGGAGACGGTCCGGGCGGGGCTCTTATGACTAAGCCATCGATTAGGTCAGGGGCAAAAGTTTTATGCAAAAAAAAGCTACTCTGCAGAGTCAACAAAGATATACACTTAAACAAGCAGCCTTGGAAACAGGCAAGCCACGAAAGGATAAAGGTGGCAGCAAGTCAGCCATTGACATTAATATCCAACTCTGTTCCTGGATCATGGCTGTCAATCCGTCGATTCTGGGAGCACAAAGTCCAAAATCCGAAAAAGCCACCCGCCTTGTGCGTTGAGTCGTTCCTATCCGGGGCGCCCCGAAGAACCAACGCCTTTAAGCGGAAAGTGCTGTCTCTAGTTCAAAACGAGGCTCATGAGGCACCTCGTCACATATCGACAGTCATCATTTGCAGCTGTTTTATTACCGACTGGCTTGTATTTCTTTTGCAACCAACCAAGTCAAAGTCAATAATGCCGCATGTTCATGGATTAAAGTCCTTAGGCGGACAAGATATTAGGATCTCCAACCCCTAGGCTAGATTCATATCACCTTGGACGAAAGAACTCGGGAATATTTCGCCTATGGAGCACGAAGTACGGAGTACTTGTGGTGTGATGAATCGGAGCAGAACCGGCAGCATTATCGGAAGCGGCAACTGCTCATATGGCATCAACCCAGGTAATAACAAGATGGCTCTTTGGTACAGAGTATCTTCTCGTCTTTTGTGGTTTACCAACACTAGCTCGAAAGTGTCTCACTCCTACGGAGCACTCCGTACGCCACAACGAGTAAATCGTGCGACAAGAACTAGGGGTGCAGCAAAATAAACCTAGCCAAATGCTAATTCAAAGGCGCTATTGAGGCTATTGATAGCTTAGTGGCGAGTATCCCAATTGGCATCCATAGAACACTCCCCAAGCGGGGAGTTAAACTCACAAGATAATCCCCTTAAAACTGGATGAAAGAAGCGCCTAAGGCGCTCGGCCAACCCAAAATGTGGAGTGAAAGAGCTCGATCACTGGGAGTTACGAGGGCTGTAAGGAGTACGAAGTACTTTTACTCTTGCTTATCACACGCTTCGAAGCTTCCCCGGTGGAGAACTTTGAAGTATCGGCTGATTTCAACCCTCACGATTGGCTTTCTCGATTTATGGACATGCCTATCATGCAACAGAGCGCAATAATACCCTGACTTCGATTGTTCTAGTTCTGGTCATACGAGTGCGGAAATTAGAGTGGCGGGACGTTATCCTGTGTACACCAGTATAACGGCTCTCTACAATCGAAGGCTAAGGACGAAAAGGCTGATATTACTTGCAGAGATAGAAAGCAGGCTTGAAATTGCCTGGTACCACATCTATCGCCGCGGCTCGCTTAAATGTTTCCTATGCGGAGAAACGAGTGTATTCTGTATGCACATCACGTTAGGCACGAAAGGCTCGTTCAAGGCACCTGGACCAGAATTATGGCGGACACGCTTGAAATATGGCTCGGCTGGTTTTACTACTCCATACCATACTCTGTAAGGAGTACAAGATATCGGAGAGCATAACTTGTGGAACTGCCGAGCACATAATCTAGATGCAGGTACTTCGTACTCCGTATGGAGTCCCCCAAGCATCATCCAGGGAAAGGCGGGAGAATATCATACGCCTTTGACACTCCATGCCTTTCGAACCCCTTAAACAACACTTCTATGGTGATTGCTAATGTTGTCCGGGGTAACAATTCTCCAATTATAAAGCTGGCCCGTCCGTGGACCCAATAACCTTCACCCCCTTTTGCCCCACAAACTCAATTTTTCCATAGATCGCAGATCGACAAAGCCACAATTTTCTTTTGACCTCAACCGCTCTTGACATGACAAATGACAGAACAGACACGTCCCACAGACTGTGATGAATGAGAGCTACAAAGCTCGAGTGATGCCGATGCCTATGTAGTTTGAGCAGGATGCTCTGTAGCCTACATACAATTTATTACGGTATACTCCGTACACGGGAGTACAAGGTCATGTTCAGGTTGGCAGCCTGACTTCCAAACTATGGGATCAAAGAGCCCTCTCAACCAAGACGTGTCGGACTATTGATGTCAAAGTGACAAGGGAGTGGAGCAGGTGGTGGAATCTTACAGGCATGACCACCAATTCCGAGAGTTTGTTTTGTGCCAATGCGGATCCGGCATACAACGAATAACACCAGGCGGCAGATATTCCTTTTATCTGGGCTTCACTAGAAGGTGCGCCTCCAAAAGAAGACACGAGATTGTACCTGGATCTGCAATGACGGGTGAGAGAAAAGGGTGACGTCTCGGAAGAGGGAGTACAGAAAGCATAAAAGGACGGCAAATCCCTTCTGGAGGGCTCTTCTCTCTCTATTCTCATCCAGCAACCAACTTGAGACAAGTCACTCATTCATTCTTTTCATCTCTTCCAGTCTCTTCAGTCATTTCCCTTGCTGGTTCTCATTCCTTCCTTTCTTCGAAACCACATTCCTTCGAACAAACTTCAAAATGCGCTTCTCCATCGTTTTCTCGGCCGTCATGGCCAGCTCTGCCATGGCCGCTCCCACCATCGTCGGAGGAGTTGGCAACAACGTTCCAGTCTCTAAGGGTGCTGTTGGAACAGTCAACAAGGTTGCCCCAGGTGTTGCAAGCCGCGATGTCGTCAACGGAATTGCTGGCGGTGCTGTCGGTACTGTCCACGGCGTCGCTAGCGGGGCTGCCGGACTCAAGACCGGAAGCATTGTTAACCGTGACCTTGTTAACAACGCTGCTGGTGGTGCTGTTGGTGTTGCTGGCGGCGCTGTCAACCAAGCTGCTGGCGATGTTGTTCACGGTGCTACTAACAGTAAGCGTGATATTGCCGGCCAAGCTGTTGGGGGAGCTACCGGAATTGCCAACAATGCTGTTGCTGGAACTGTCGGAGGTACCGTTGGATCGGCTCTTAACGGAAAGCGCGATGTCGTCAACCACGCTGCCGGTGGAGCCCTTCATGTCGCTGGCAATGCTGTTAACGGAGCAGCTGGTAACACAGTTGATGGTGCTACTGGCGGTGCTCTCAAGCGTGATGTTGTTGGCCAGGCCGCTAACGATGCCACTGGAATTACCAACGGTGCTGTCAAGAACACCGCTGGTGAAACCACTGGTCAGGTTGTCGGCAACGTTAAGAGAGATACCCTTCCTAACTTGAACGGAGTTACTGGTGTTGTTGGTACTGCCAAGAACCTCGTTGGTGGTGCCACCGGAGGCGTCGCTGGAGGAATTGTCAAGCGTGTGGAGGGTGTTAACAACATGGTTTCTGGCGTTACTGATAGAACCATCGGCGGAGTTGGCAGCATTGTTGGTTCAAACGTTGCCGGACAGACAGTGTCCGGTGCTACCAACACAGTCGGTGGAACATGGACATCACCAAGGGTGTTACCCAGCACCAGAAGCGTGAACTTCCTGTGGTTGGAGGTGTCACTGGCGCTGTCCAGGGAGTCACTGGTAACCTTCTAGGAGGTGCTGCCAGCCCCGTTGCCGGTATCGCTGGCCGCCGAGTCTAAGCTTCAAGGACGCAGCTGCTGGTATGACGAGTTTCTGTTGAATATCTGTACGTGCTCTGGATTCCACTTCTTACACTTGATTTGACAAGTTACTGACTACAGATTCAGCTATTTACCAGTGATTTGTCGATGGCCATCAAAGATTTCCAGGTAGCCCGGACCGTTGGAAGAGTGCGCTCGGAGCCCGTGCTTAAAATAGACGAGGACGGCATGATATTTTGATGTTTTGTTTATACCTTTTTCGAAGAGCCCTCTGGATTTTTGTTCTTTTTATCAGCCTCAGGGGTTCAGCTCATTACTCGCTTATTAATTTCATTTTATCAATGACACGACTCATCTATTGTGTGTTTAACATTCTTGTATTTGTTTTTGGTCGTCGGGATCGTTTTTGGATATACAAAAAAAATGCTTCTTGGTGTACATTTATCTGGAAGTGGCAAAGACGCAGTGTTTTTATTCTTATTAATTAGACATCAATTCAATTTCATGACTTGAAATTATTTACTCTACTGGTATACGCAAGGGACCTTCGAATGATTTTATTATTATTTTCTTTTTTGTGGAGAGAGCTGACAAATGCCCGATAAACATGGCTCCGAATTGCACTGGCCAAGGAGTCGTTATAATACCAGGGAGTCGCAATTCTTTTCAATTATTGTGAGGGTGCTGGCATCAGAGGGTCTGATCGTCCTGCCCAGGGTATCACTCTGGACCGTATAATAATGCGGAGGGCAATATGGACAGGGAACTCAGCAGATCTCAATTGTGGTAAAGCCCCCTGTACTTGCTGAGACTCATAGCGTGCAAGAAGAAGTAACCACGATGAGAGTAGACATATGGAGTACTTGCGCCGCCACGTGGAAATATATTAATACGAAGGAAACAGTCGTATTTGCTACCTAGAGTTATTGATATAATGGAAGTCTGGGGTTGCTGGGTGTGTCTAGATATCAAGCTGTTTACGACCAGGCCCGAGCAAAGTAATCTCGGCAGGAAGTTTGAGAGCCCCATGTCGCATAAACTCACTGACTCGAGCTCGCACGGCTATTCATAGCGCTCTGTCGCTACCTATGCCGGCGCCTGTGAGGAAGCGGGTGGGAGCATGCTTGGTGGCTCAGGGGTTTGCTAGCCTGCGCCCTGAAAATAATGACGGTGCATGCATTCTAACAGCTTTTCATGAGAGGCTAGGTTTGACTGTGCGACAGTGACAGCCCCAGATACCACATCTCCTCATCACACACTGCTCTCCGGCGCCTCTGTCCTCTCCGTCCTCTTCATCGTCTCTCTCGTCTCTTTTGTCTCTGTCGTCGTCTTCTCCTTTTCCCGAATTTTAACATCACTCTGTCGCTTACATAAGCAGTAGTAAACACTGGTAACCATGTTCCAGTAATATTACCATATTGGTACTTAGTTTCTGCAGTATTTTGTGCGTAATTGGGGGTTGCGTCGCATTTAACGTTGGGAAATGTTACAATACCATACCAGATCCTGATCTTCAGTTGGGCCCAAAAAGGACAAAATCAACGACCAACATCAACATCCAACTTCATCAGAAGAAAAAGGTCGAGCCTGTCCAACGATCAAGCAGAAAGGGACCTTCAGGTGGGCAGAAGAAGAGGCAAGCAAGCAACGATGATGGGTTGCTAGGCAACTCCGTCTCCCACAGCTCTCTTTTGCCCTCTCATCCTTCACGGTAGGCCCCTTCAGCCTTGTTTCTAGGGGGAGGGTGTGCAGCTTGCATATTCACCATCCAACTAACGCAGAACGGAGTACGAACAGGAATCGCTCTACCTACGTGTTCGCTTTTGCTGTAAGTGTTGCTGCTGCTGCTGCTGCGACCCCAGTCCTGATCCGCCACTCTTTATCGCCTGCTGGTCCTATACGAGCGGAGACATATATGGAACATTGTCATCTTTATATTATCACCGCCTGCGTATAGACAAGCAGCAACGCTCTCCGGCCTCCATACCGAGTATATATATGCTGTCAAAGGAGAAGCAGGTGAGTTTCTCGATTGGTGATTTTCTGTTCTTTTCTTTTCTTTTTTTTTTTTTCCCTCCCTTGCGTTTCTTTTCTTTTTGCTCACCCCTTTCAGGAGATATTTGGTGTGTTTCGCATCTTCTTGGTTCGCTGTGTTATTTTTATTTTTTATTTTTTTATTTTTCGCTTCGAGTCCATCCAAGACAGCTCGTATCCCTCCTCGTCGCCATCCCTCTCTCGCCAGCTGCCCCTTGCCGCATGTCTCTCCTCTCCTGCCTGTTGTTAGTTATATTGTGGCTGAACAAGCCGTTGTTTGTCTCCATATTATTTTCAGTACCACTGCGACTCTTCTCTGTTGACCAGAACGGGTGGCTGCTACTCTGTATATTTCAACTCTGCACAAACAATCTACGGAGCACCACGGGTCATTTTGCGGACCTGCTGACTTTGGTCGCTGCTAGGAAGCACAACGCCAAAATAGCCATACATATGCTCCCTGAACCTCACACTGATACGTCCGCCCATACTCCGTACAGACAGACATCGACGTGGCCCTGCGGCCTTGCCCCCGTTCCCCGTCCCTGACATCGCATATTGATCGCCCTCCCCGCTCGTCGCCCTCCTTGCACGAATACCTGAGCATCCTTTTCCTTTTACTTTTGAATACACATACGCAGTCTGAATGGGGGCCGTTTAAGAACCAGCTGTTGCCTCTCATTCGATAGAATATCGGGGCTACACCTTCGTAGCGGTTTTGCGATTATAGCTGAAACAAGTCGCTACCCGGATAATTCTCACTACCAAGGGTGATCAAAAGCTCGGACATCCTGCTTTACTTCTCAGATGCTTCACACCACAACCTCGATAGATCCGTCTTCTTCGCTCGCTTTTTGCCAGATCGGATCATCACCCCTTTTCTTAACTCGACCCTTGTCCTGAACGTACAGTTGGAGTTACTGTGAAAGATGGATATGGATGCCTCAGCCTCGACTGAGTCGCCGGACGACCAAGATGACTTTCCCATCCACTGCAAAGGATGCGGCGAGGTATGATGTTACTCATGGAACTCCCTCCGTTTTCACTATACCTTGTTTCGATTTTTGCTAAAATATCTTTTTCTAGATTCTCGAGGAAGGAAAGGCCTTTGAACTCGGTATGTGAATTTTGATCCCCTTTGTGCTTCAAGCCACCAACCTTTGCTGACTATCTATTAGCCGGAAACCGATGGCACATTGACTGCTTCCGATGCCATACTTGCGGCGCTTACCTTGATTCCGACGTAAATCTCCTCATGGTCGGCGATGGTTCCCTCGTGTGCCGAAACTGTGCTTATAGCTGCAGTTCTTGCGGCTCCAAGATTGACGACGTTGCTATTGTAACAGGTGAACAAGCCTTTTGCGCTGGTTGTTTCAAATGTCGCAACTGCAAGAAAAAGATCGAGAATCTCCGTTACGCGCGGACATCGCAAGGTATATTCTGTATGGATTGCCATGAATCGTTAATGTCGAGAAGGAGGAAACGGACTGCCCGCAATGCCGCGCAACGGCAAAAGCCCCCGGCTCCCAGCATGCATCTAGACAAATCACTTCCATCACTTCCCCCTTCTATGGTAGCGCCTGAAAATAATCCACCCCCGCCGTCCTCTTCCGATATATACTCTGATTCAACATCAGAACATCTCCCACCGTCTAGACAAGAAGATGACCGGGCAGCTAGATCATACTCTTCGCACCAAGGTAAGTTTGCAGTAACTTGGAACGAACGCCTTGATGTTGGTTTGGCTAAAACGTACATTTTTTACTAGATAATAACCAACTCCTCCCCTCGAGTACGTATAATAGCAACCGTCAATCGGTAGCTACTCACAGGTCAGATGGCTCCGCCGGTGGTGAAGAGTTCCTTATACCTGTTGCCTTTGACCCTACTCCCTCCGAGCATGCGTCCCCACACTTGGGTTCTCCGCACTCATCCATGACCCTAAGCGATGGACAAAAGGATTATTTTGGCCGGGCACCCTCCAACGCACTGGGAATCTCAGCAGATGGACCACCCGTGTTATCGCCAACGCATATTGCATATCAGGATAAGCGCCAAATGAATCCCAACCCACAGCAGTGGATTCAGGAAACTGTTACCCCCCCTCAATCTCAAACTACAAATAATGCTATCCAAAGAACTGGCTCGCACAGTGCTCGAACTAGCATGAACATAGACAGCTCTAGGCTATCGCAAGAAGGTTCAAGAGGCAAGGATCAAGCCACTTTGGGTGGCAGCGTCCACCTCACGCCAAGTGAAAGGTCATCTAATCGCCATTCCGTCCCAGGAAAGGATGCCATTATCTCTCAATCATCCACTTTCAACCCAAGAAAAAAGGTATCAAATGAGCAATCCAACCCTGGAACAATTTCTTCCTCAAACCAGCTACAGTACCCACCCAAGAGAGGGGACTCTCTAGAGAGCAAGTTACATCATAATATCCAAAGGAAAGAAATACCACAGCCTTCACAAGACCATGCGGAGAAGCCGGAGGGTACCGTTAGGTCCTCAACTAGTTCAGACTATGCATCGGTAGCTTCGAAAGCTGTTGAAACTACTCCGCCAAGCCACTCCAATACCACCACCGCTGGTGCGGGTGCTGTATCACCGTCCCATGCAAGGTCTGTATCAGGAGGGGTGAGCGGAAATGTTTTACCACCGGACTCTCAGCGTCAAAATTCATCTGGCTCTTCTCCTGGCCTTCTACGTTATAGTGCTGTTGGAGACTTTTCTCTAGATGAGGATATGGCACGAATTCTTGGGGATGACCCACAAGCCCAAGACTCGTTCCTACGAAAGGTGTCGAATTCTGTTCGGCACGGTAGAAGCTTTAGTGACAAAGGCTCACGGTTATCCCGAGATAGCAAGTGGCCTGCTAAATCTCCCCTCGAGGCAGGCAACTCTGGGAATGATATTAGTAGCCCAACTTCTAGTGGACTTGACCCCAAGGATGAACTAACGTGGCTCAAGAACGAATTGAAACG